GGTGCATTCACAGGATTCCAACATCTTGACTGCATCTGGACAACGACAAGGTCCTGAAACATCATAATGGATGCAATGTTAAAGCCCCCAAGCCCTCCGTTGGGCAAATCATGTTGCTGAGGGTGGTGTTGTCACAACAACTCCCTTCCCAGATAGCTTGATGGGCTGGCCGGGTTGGTGCAGTGTTTTCCTTATTCCCAGAGAGCAAGCCATCTACTCAACATTCTACATGCACTTGGACGCCCTTTCTGGTCAAGGTGCATTCGGAAGAGTCCGCCATTTTGAATGTATCTGGAGAAATGCGGTGGTCCAGATACATATAGAGTGTTGTGTGGTGGAGCGGTGCCCAAAAGTCGTTTCTCTGCAAACAGTCTCCATCTCCACATCACATCTGTTTTTTTCTCGCAGGCTATTTCAGTGGGGCACCTTCATTTCTGGATGGAATCTGTCCATGATTGTGGCAAGGTACATGCTGGAGTCCACTGTTACAGCCACATTGGCCAAGCATGCATCTGCCAGGCGTCGGAGCATAGTACCACGAGTACTTTTTTTATTGAATCTGGTCATCGGTGTTGGCAAGATACATGCAGGATAGTCGTAGTATGACCGCGTAAATATGTCCTCGGTCACTTTGGACTCGTCTGAGGTTGCACTAGCTCTTTCCTAAATGTATCTGACTGCAATTACGGTTGGACTTGGATGAATCTGACCGCGATCACGCCCAGAGCTTAGTAGAAAAGTCGTGCTGTGCGAGTAGGCCCTGAGGGACTTGACGCATTTGCATGGACGGCGAAGTCGATCTGACGCCAGAGCTGTCATCGTCTCTGAAGTAGTCACTGCGAGTCGGCCGTTACCCAGTCAGAATGAATTTGGATCTGATGTCAGAACTTAGGCCTCAATTGGGGTGCCGGGGGGATCTCAGTGCAGGACTGGAGCAATTAGCGCTCGAACTGCGCTAACTCTTGCCGCAGTGAGCCAAGCTACGGCAATGAAGCCGTGGCTGGTGCGCCGATGCCCAGGATTTGCGACTGTTTGAAGACGATGTTCTGTGGTCAGCTTGGCAATGGCGTATGGTTGTCCATGGGTCTAGCTTCCTTCCTCGTCACAGTCTATATGATGTGTGTGGTGTTGGAAAATACAATGGCTGGGAGGGCTCCATCATCTCCTTCTACCTGGACTTATACCACTCCCATCATCGTCAGAGCTGAGGACCCTCAAGCAGTGCCAAACAGTCGGTCACTCCATCACCGTCAGCTTGGCGATGGCATATGGTTGTCCATGGGTCTGGCCTCCTTCCTTATCATAGTCAATATGATGTGTCTGGTGTTGGAAAATACAATTGCTGGGAGGGCTCCACCATCTCCTTCTACCTGGACTTATACCACTCCCATCACCGTCAGAGCCGAGGACCCTCAGGCAGTGCCAAACAGTCGGTCATCCGTCACCGTCAGCTTGGCAATGGCGTATGGTTGTCCATGGGTCTGGCCTCCTTCTTTATCATAACCAATATGATGTGTGTGGTGTTGGAAAATACAATGGCTGGGAGGGTTCCACCATCTCCTTCTACGTGGACTCGTACCACTCCCATCGTCGTCAGAGCTGAGAGGGTCCTTTATGGAGAGCACAGATTTCATTGATCTTCGTTCACACGGCGTCCAGGTCACAGTTGCCGCCCGGGAAAGCCTCTGCCCGAGTCTGCCGGCTTATTTGCAGTAACTAAGGACCTCCGCGAGAGCTGCATGTGAGGGAACTTGCACATACGGTTCGGGAAAGATAGGCAGGCGGCAGGGAACTTGCACGTACTGTTCGGGAAAGATAGGCAGGCGGCAGGGAACTTGCACATACAGTTCAGGAAAGATAGGCAGGTGCGAGGGAACTTGCACTTACGGTTTGGGAAAGGTAGGCTATCTGACACCTGCTGGTCACAGTTGCCCACCGGAGAAGCCTCTGCCAGCTTATTTGCAGTCACGGACGAAGGACCTCGGTGAGAGCTATATGTGAGGGAACTTGCACAGACGGTTCAGGAAAGGTAGGCTACCTGATGCCTGCCTATTTATGAACGAACGACGTGGTTGGTATCTGGCGATGGGGCTTGCCGCACCACTTGCCAAACGCCAACATTTTGAATGAATCTGGACCAGTGCAAGGTCTAGATGCATTCCAGGGTTCAGTTGACTGGCTTTCTGTTGACCTCCGCGTGGTTAGTATCTGGCAATGGGGCCTGCTGCACCACTGCCAAATGCCAACATTTTGAATGAATCTGGACCTATGCCAGGTCTAGATGCATTCCAGGGATAAGTTGACTGGTTTCCAGTTGTCCTTGGCGTGGCTGGTATCTGGCAATGGGGCTCACACCACTCACTGAACGCCGACGTTTTGAATGAATCTGAACCAAGGCCTGGTCTGGATACATTAGAAATGTTGGTGTTTGGCGAGTGGTGCGGTGAGGGCCAAAGTCAGAACACTGCTCGGTTAACTCAGACATGGATCAGTGGATGTCAGGATGATGTGCAATCGAGACAGCTGACGTCAGATTGGCGTTGATGTGGCAGCCTCTTGTGCAAATGTCAAACTTGCAGTGAAGGATCTACTTTTGCATCTACCGTCTTCACCCGAATAGAACGCCCGGTCATTATCGCTGCATCTGGACTGAAAGTTGGGCCGAATGCAGCTATAATGACCGGGTGTTCTATTCGGGTGAAGACGGTAGCCTGCTCAAGGTAAGTGGCGTATAACAGCTTGATAGTCGGGAACCAAGCTGCGTTTGCTTGTGTCCGGAAGATTTTATGGTCTGTTTGAGAGCCGAACTCAGAAGGGAAAATTTTGAAACGACAACAGCACCAGCCTGCAGAGAAGGATCTGGTGGTTTTGCATCTAGCCTGCTCGAAGAAGGGAAGTTATAAAACGACAACAACAGGACCGGATTTCAAGCTCAGAAGCTGGTTTTGCATGTCGTCTGCTTGAGGTAAGGCGGCTTAACAGTTTGATGGTCAGGGACGAAGCTTTGTTTGTGTCCGGAAGACTCATCCATCTTTTTCAGAACTGAGCTTGCGATGACCTGGCAAGTGATCGAATCCTCACCTCCTCAAGCTGTTTGAGGGGGTACTTGTTGTGGGTAAAGTCCGATCAGCTAGTCGCAGCGAGCAGCGCCCGTCTCTCGGGTTGTTGGTTGGCGGATATAGATAGTCCATAATTCATTCTCCTTTCTTTTAACGCGCTGTGCCTCCGGCTTGTCTTGATGTTCGTACCGTTTCTATACTTTGTTTTTCATTGTAACATATTTGCCTTTGCCCTTACAGGTTGGAATTCAGGATCACCCGAAAGTGCAAACGCTGGGGGCGATGGAGGAGCATCCTAATTTTCTAGCGCCAAGGGTTTGAAGTTTCCCTTTTAATAATCTCCATTTTTTGTCGCTTAATAATTGTGTAGCACGGATTCTTCACTTATTGCCCCCCCCTGCCGCAATAACAGCTTTGTGCAGCGCGGTCGCTATGTAGGCACATCAGTTAAGCCAAGCAGGACCGAGTCCTCATTTCGTCCTGGCCCCCCTCCTCCTCCCTCCCTCTCTCTCCTCCTCCTCCTCCATGTTCCCTCCTTTCCTCCCTCTCTCCCCTCCTCCTCGTCTCCTTCCTCTCTCCCTCCCGTTCTTCCCCTCCCTTCCTCTCCTCCCCTTCCTCTCTCCCTCCTCTCCTTCCTCTCTCCCTCCTCTCTTCTCCTCTCCTTTCTCTCCCTCCTCTCTTCTCCTCTCCTTCCTCTCTCCCTCCACTTCTTCTTGTCCCTTTATCGGGAGGAGCACGATTTGTTTCCACTTCATAACATTCTAACAGTTTTCTTATTCTCCAAAGGTCTCCTTCCTGCCCCTTCAACCACTCTCTCCCCACTCGCTCCTTCCCCCAGTTCCCCTCCTTTGCTGCCTCTCCGTCCTCCCACCTTTTTCCTCCTCCCCCTTTTCCCNCCCCGCCACTGTGCCCCCTTTTTCCATCCTTCCCCTCCTCCTCCCCCTTGCCCTCGTCCTTTCCCCCCCTCCTCGTGCCAACAAACTCCCCTATTTCTTGAGGACACGAAACCTCTCTTTCTGAAGTGCTCAGTGAGTGGTGATTGGTTGGTGATTGACTTGCTTTCCCCTGTTACCCTGTCATATATGGGCCGCCACCGCCATATGGGCTAAATGCCATTATGACTCTGCTCTGACGCCTTTCGGCGTCATAGAAACGGAAATTCTTCTGATCCCTCTTTACAAATTCTTTTTCTTTTCTTTTCTTTTTGCCCTTTTTTCTTTCCCCAATTTTTTTTTGCTTCTTGTATTTCCCCCAATCCCCCCCGCCCCCCCGTCACCAAATCCCTTTCTTTCCTTTTCTGTAAAGTCTTTTGGCGCAGCCTGTGAACTTGTAGATGTCCTCGCGTTTTGAGCTGGCAGCTCACTTTTGTAGCAAGTGTTTGTCTGCCAGTTGGCGAGCGTCGAGCGCTTGTTCCTGGTATTGACTCTTAGTATGACTCATATGTGTCATAACCTTTTTTTTCCTTCTTTTTTTTTTTTTCAAGGGTGACGACCTTGAGATATCGTCCTTCAACTGACTGGCCCCGGGTAAATGCAGAGTTATTATGTTTTAACTTTTTTAACTTTTAATCATCTGAATCCATCTGGGTTCGAACTTCGAACCCAGGTCCGTATTTCAAAAGTTTGTGTTTGTGCCTGCTGAGCTATAGGCCAGTTGGTACCTCATATCCCTTTTTGCAGGGAGCTTCTTCCTATTGCTTTGCGCACTATGTGAAGTTGATGAGGAGATCATGATTCGAATTGTAGATAGCGTTCACTTTTTTTTTTTTTTCCCAAATAGATAAGAATTCACTATTAACTGGTGAGGATTAGAAAAAGAGACAAAGCGAGTCGTAGCGACAGCTGAACTCCTAAAGATGTTGCAAAGCTAAGTGGAAGGTTGGGCTGCGTAAATTCTCACACTAAAGTTGTGTACGTCAGGCTAGAACTTTCCTAAATGTATCTGACTGCAATTGCGCACAGACTTGGATGAATCTGACCGCCATTGCGTCCAGAGCTTAGTAGGAAGAAAAAAGAGTCCTCCTGTGAGTATGCCCCGAGAGGCTGCTGAGGCTAGATAACTTAGATTGCTAACAGAATCTTAAAGCGGGAAAAAAAAAAAAAAAAAAAGTCTTAGAGGCTAAATGTTTAAGCTGAATTTCGCTAATAACCAGAGCGCTTTTTACGGTAAAAGTTTCGTTTCCGTAAACCGTATCTTTTTTTTGTTCTAAAAAGCTTTTAAGCGGAAGGTGTTTTTGCCAAAAAGCTGGCTGACATTGAAACTGCAGTTGGCTTGGCGCCAATTTTTACGACTCCGTTTGTCCCTTTTTTTTTTTCCCGCCTACGTTTTTCGCTCTTCAGTTGCAGCCCTTTGACTCGTGGTCACTCTTGCTTTTTTTTCGGTTTCTTTTTAATTCCTTTGATTTTGCAGGTATGCCTGCAGGGTCCAAAGACTCTTTCTAATTTTTGGTTTCTGTTGCGGCTTCAATTGTTTGCACATATCTTTCTGCTTTTCTGAGTTTTCTCTGTGATTTGGTGTGAATTTGTGTTCATGTGTTTTGATTACGCGGGTGCTTAAAAAATGTGTACATATGTGTGTGTGCATGCACGCGTGCATGTGCTTGCGCTCTCCCACGGGTTGTGTGTGTGTGTGTGTGTGTGTGTGTGTGTGTGTGTGTGTGTGTGTGTGTGTGTGACATTGTGAATACCCCTGAGCTCCACATCAGTACAGATTACAGAAGTCCTCCTGCCAGGCTCAGCTCATATGGCTGCGGACTGATATGGAAGGACGCCGGGCCCATTTCCCGGCTTATATTGAATTTCCTAAAAAATAGAAAAGAAAAGCTTGTCCTGGCCCCAAGCCAAACCATTGTAAACTCACCCAGGCTTCGCTCTGAGGGAGGAAAAGGATCAGCAAAGAATTCTGGAGATGTGAGAGTTGCCCCTGGTTGAAGTGTCAAGTTGTCAAGTCCTTCTTGCAGGGCTCCTCCTCTCAGCAGATCCCCCCAGCCAGTCTCTATTGACCTTTTTTATTGTTTGTTTGTTTGTTTGTTTGTTTGGTTGGTTGGTTGGTTGGTGGGTTGGTTGGTGGGTTGGTTGGTGGGTTGGTGGGTTGGTTGGTGGGTGGGTGGGTTGGT